TACCAACCTCAGAAGGATAGAAGGCTGAGTCAACCTTGAGCCAGCTACCTGGGATTTGAATCCCAGGTCATGAGCACAGTTTGGGCTGCAGTACAGTGGTTTAACCACTGCGCCACGAGGGAATGACCATATATTCGATATACCCACAAGGAGGACAATATAGAGTCCCTCAGAGGCAACCCCCTCTAAGACCACTCCCGCCACCCCAAATAGTACGAAAAGTAATTTCTTTTAAAATAAAATCAGCTCTTTTTTTTTTCCTGGAAGGTTCCCGACGCAGTAGTTTTCACTTTGGGGACCTCTACATCCATATAAATCAGGACGGTGGGAGCCAGACATGCCATCTGGATGTGTTTTGCGCCCATTCTTTTTATAATTTCTTGGTTTTCTTTACATTCTTGAATGGTCCCAATTGACAATGTCTCGACCTAATCCCGACCCCGAGGGAGGTAAAAATGCCCCTCTCCACGGGAAATTTGGGGAACTGGATTTGAAGGACACGGCCCTCTCCTTCTTGCTGAATTTCCCAAGGAAGTGGGATTTAGAGGCATGTGGCCTTTGTCCCGGAGAGAAGGTGGGGTCCACAGACCTCCTATCCCTCGTGAAGAGGAACTTCCTGCAGGCAGACTGTGAGTTCCACCCACAGCATTTGAAGTCCTGAGACACAAACTCCGCCCATCCTCTCTTAACTTCAGAAATTGTGTCAGATTCTTTAAAAGGTGAGCAAGAAACGTGTTCTTTCTTGCCAGGCTCTGATGACCTTTGAGGAAGTGGCGGTGAACTTCACCCGAGAGGAATGGGCCCTGCTGGATCCAGACCAGAGATCCCTCCACAGGGACGTCATGGCGGAGAATCATCAGACTATGGCTTCTCTCAGTAAGTCTCCCTGTTTCCCTGGTTCACACTAAACGCAAGAACAGGAATATCCAATTTGCAGCAGTGACCTGCCTCACACTAGATCATTGGAGCGGGGTGGTGGTCTTTTAAGCAGGGGTGGGAAACTGCTAGATTGGGACCCCTCTTGGTAATTCTTGGTGTTTCCTTGGTTCATGCAAAGTCTGGTAACAGTAATAGCCAAGCCAGGGCAGTGACTGAATTCCAACCAGCTCATGGGGTTGGTGTGTAATTTAGGCAGGGCCCAAGAACTCCTGGCGGCCTCCCAGCCTGTCTGAAACCAAGGTCTGTTCCGTGGTGACACACAATGGGGAGTGGAGCTCCCCTTCCAAACTACACATCAGCCTTTTTCCAGGGCGAATGCAAATCCACCTAGAACGGGTCTCCCACCCAACATCTGGACCTGGGAATCATTGTCCCAAAGAGCCTCCATCTTCCTAGGATTTAATCTGAGTTTATTCACACACATCCAGCCACATTACAGCCTCCAGACATTGGTCCTGTACCAGCACAGCCTCAGCTGGCCAAGACTGATAAGGAGAAGTAGAGTTGGATTGTCAGGAGTAGAAGGAGGATTTCTATGACATGTCACACTTTCTCTGGAGCTTTAAAACAGGGGTGGGAAACTGCTAGATTGTGGCCCCTCTCGGTAATTCTCAGTGTTTCCTAGATCCATGCAAAGTCTGGTAACAGTAATAGCCAAGCCAGGGCAGTGACCGAATTCCAACCAGCTCATGGGGTTGGTGTGTCATTTAGGCAGGGCCAGGGGAAGAAAACATGGTCCCTGCTTGGTGGAAATATTGTAGACTCCATGCCATCCAGCACCATAGGAATTCATGATGTGGGCAAAACACTTTACGGGGTCCAGCTCACTACATTAGTAACTTGATGGTTGCCCATTGTCACGAAGAAGATCCAGCATGGGTCAAGGAGGTGGTAAATGCCTCATTCTGCTTGAGTAGTGGTTTCAAACCTTTGGTTCCAACTCAGTTCTTGGACTGCAACTCCCAGAAATCATGGCTAATGATGAAGACATCTGGGAGTTTTAGGCCAAGAACTTCTGGGGACCCACTACTGATTTAGACCCTTTTCACTTCAAGAACCTTCATTCTATCACATTTGAGATTCAATCTCTTCTATGCATGATGAAGACATCTGGGAGTTTTAGGCCAAGAACTTCTGGGGACCCACTACTGATTTAGACCCTTTTCACTTCAAGAACCTTCATTCTATCACATTTGAGATTCAATCTCTTCTATGCATGTTATTCTTCCAGCAGATCAGGAAAGTTACGCCAGAGAAGAGCCCTACATTTCCACCATGTCTGGGACACGTTTTGCTGAAGATGTGGCACGTCCACTTCATGAGAGGCTACACACTGCAAATTTCCTTTTTAGAAAAAAAGTATCCAGAAAAGGTTGTGATAGGAAACCACAACTTGTGAGCCACAAGAGCATTGGAGGAGTAGCCAATAATCACCAATATCAGGAGCTTGGGGGATCTTTGGACATGAATTTCCTCCTTCAGGTACATCAGAGAGTCCACAAAGGAAAGAATTTGTACAGTTGCCAGGAGTGTGGGAAATGTTTTGATAAGAATTCACACCTTCTTCAACACCAAAGAGTCCACACTGGAGAGAAACCATTCAAATGCCAAGAGTGTGGGAAATGTTTTTCTCACAGGTCAAGCCTTCTGATGCACCAGAGAGTCCACACTGGAGAGAAACCATACAAGTGTCAGGAGTGTGGGAAATGTTTCGCTCAGAATTCAAATCTTCTAAAACACCAGAAAATGCACACTGGAGAGAAACCATACATATGCCAAGAATGTGGGAAATGTTTTTCCCGCAGGTCAACCCTTCTGCAACACCGGGCAGTACACACTGGAGAGAGACCATACAAATGCCAGGAGTGTGGGATAGGTTTTTCTCGAAATTCAAACCTTCTTGAGCACCAGAGAGTCCACACAGGAGAGAAACCATACAAATGCCA